CATAGATACACACACATAGACACACACATAGACACACACATAGATACACACATAGATACACACATAGACACACACATAGATACACACATAGATACACACACATAGATACACAGAGAGATACACACATACATACACACATAGATACACACATAGATACACAGATAGATACACACATAGATACACACATAGATATACACATTGATAGATACACACACATAGATACACACATAGATACACACATAGATACACACAGAGATAGACACGTAGGATACACACATAGATACACACATAGATACACAGATAGATACACACATAGATACACACATAGATACACACACATAGATACACACATAGATACACACACATAGATACACACATAGATACACACACACATAGATACACACATAGACACACACATAGATAAATACACACATAGATAGATACACACATAGATACACACATAGATAGATACACACATAGATACACACATAGATAGACACACACATAGATACACACATAGATACACACACATGATCTAAGGTTCTTAAAAGTTATGTATAAAAAGTACTACCTAAAAAAGTAGCCGGATCTTCTCAGACCTCTGAAGCTGTGCAGAGCAGGGCCTGGTTAGTGCTGTGATGGGAGACCTCCGTGAACAGCAGGTGCCAAAGTAGGGCGGCTGTAAAATGCCAAACTGTCTATGTGCTCTTAGGCAAAACACTTCACCCACTTTGAATGGGTGGTGGGAGATGGCACTGACTGGTTGGAATGATGACATGTGACAAGTTGATTGAAGCCACTTTAATGAAACACAGAGGACGTAGCACATGGCAGGAAGGTAAGACTCAGGGAAGGCTAAACATCTTAGATTCAGTCAAGCTGCACAGGGAGTCAGTTTTCTGGGAGAAGTATGGTAACTTGAGCACTATCCTCTCCTCCTTCCTACTTTATCTGTTTAGCATTATTAGGGTTTTGACTGTAGTCTGTTCATTGCTATTCACTTGTTGTTGGCATTTATCAACATTCATGGATATTGGTCTCTCCCTATGGACCAATACATTCCTGTTCTATATTTATTGTGTCTAAACTGTTGATTCTCTCATCTGCGTTGCCGATTTCAACGGTTTTGTTAAGTCCTCTGAGATGACTGGTGTTGTGATTTTATAGTTGGAAGCTTTTTGCAACGTAGCAGATGCTTCAAATACTTTTAAATCCATTTGGTCAAAGCTGTAACACAAAACATGTTTCTTTTGTTTGTTGGTTTGGCTGAAGCCGGAGCCAGAGCGTGACGTCAGCTGAGACTGGCCTGTTTTACTGTTGGCAGCACTTCACTGATTGGACGACGTGGGATTTGATGGAAAAAGGAAGGATGTCTCACTGTGGGCTTTAAGTCTTGGCAACTGTAATCTGTTGGCTAAGGATTGGCAACATTGGCAGAATGAGGACGTGTAGGAATAAACTCAGGACTTTTCAGCAGAACAGGAGAAAACAGATTAAAACACGTCTCCTACTTTACTTGTCTTTGTCCATTTAGTCCCATCGTCTGTTTCAGCGAGCGGTTATGGGAAGCTAGAACCAGGACTCTCCAACATGGTTGCCCCTGGACGTGTGGGTCTACCCCTGCTTTGAGGCTCGGGTGCCTTGTCCCTTCCCCTGGTGAGTGACTGTGGATCTCTCTCAATGTGTTTCCCCAAGATGCTCCCCGCTGAGTTTTGGAGTTTTTCTCACAGATGCAGGAGAGTCTAACATTGTGTTTTGTCTGTTTTAACTGCGAAGCGCTTTGTGGCCTTGGTCTGTGAAAGGCGCTGTATAAATAAAGCTCACTTACTTACTACATAAGGACAGTGATGATGATCCAGGACACTCAGCATTCATCAATATTTATGGATGTTGGTCATGTGCCGCTTTTGGTACAAAACCAATGTCTTTTCTGTTCTGTCGAGTGTGTGTGTTTGTGTTTGTGCGTGTGTGTGTGTATGCGCGTGTGCATTTGATGTGTGTATTGATTCTCTCTGCAGAATATGTGTGCCTCCTCGTGGATCTAGTGCAGTGTGTATGCTTTACCTAGGGAGGCGGAGTGGGGGTCCCAGCGCTGGAGGGCCTGGCTCTGTCCTCACGCAGCTGCGACATCACAACACACAGCAACAGAGACTTTCCGGAGCTGCAGAGGAGGCTGGAGCAGGGCCCTCGCCACCCTCTGAGCTGGAGCTGGGGACCTCTTCCTCTTCCTGCCGCCCCGGACGCTCCTGTGACCGCCCCTGCCCTGGACGCTCCTGTGACCGCCCCTGCCCTGGACGCTCCTGTGACCGCCCCGGACGCTCCTGTGACCGCCCCCGGACGCTCCTGTGACCGCCCCTGCCCTGGACGCTCCTGTGACCGCCCCTGCCCTGGACGCTCCTGTGACCGCCCCGGACGCTCCTGTGACCGCCCCTGCCCTGGACGCTCCTGTGACCGCCCCTGCCCTGGACGCTCCTGTGACCGCCCCCGGACGCTCCTGTGACCGCCCCGGACGCTCGTGTGACCGCCCCTGCCCTGGACGCTCCTGTGACCGCCCCTGCCCTGGACGCTCCTGTGACCGCCCCGGACGCTCCTGTGACCGCCCCCGGACGGTCGTGTGATAAAGTCATGTCGTCTGTTACATGACTACATTTACAGTCGTGTGAATGTTTTGAATCCACTTGAAACTTGTTCATGTTTGAAACAGAGAACAGTGTATTACCAGGCTGTCGCTGAAGGTGGCGCTGCTGGGGCATAGTTCTGTGCACATAAAGCAGTTTGAGACATGGTCCAGAGCGGTAAGCTCACTTCTACAATCTAAAACACATCATTGTAATTAAGTAAGTAAGTAAGTAAGTTTTTATTTATATACCGCCTTTTTACTGCAGATCTGAGTCTCAAAGCGGTTTACAATTGTTAATTTTTGGGCATCTGTCTCTCACTCCACACAGAGATGGGAGCGGGGCCAGTACAGGAGGCACATGCCAGAACTATTGGACATATTTTTAGTGGTAGGGGAAACCGGAGTACCCGGAGGAAACCTACGCAGACACGGGGAGAACATGCAAACTCCACTCAGAAAGGCCCTGGTCCGACCGGGATTCGAACCCAGGACCTTCTTGCTGAGAGGCGAGAGTGCTATCCACTCAGCCACCGTGCCGCCGTGCATTGATTCATATGAATGTTTGGAATCAGACAAATACACATGAAACTAAAAGGACACATGTACGTTCGTTATTGCAATGCTTTCATGGCTGATAATAAAACATAATTTCACTTGCTGGGGTGCCAAACTTTCAAACCACAAAAGTTCAACTCCCACATATGTTTTGTTTTCTGTCACATCTTTAAATCAGCTTTTTCAGACAGTAAAGTGAAGAAACACTCAGCCCCAGTGTAAAATGACAAGGCTCTATTATATTATTAATGAAGGAGAAAAGTTAGGTTCATAACTAATTATAATGTAGTGCTGATTACTGGAGTGTAATTTATGGTTGATTGGTATTTAATAAGCACTTATTAGTCTGTATCCTACATGGCCTTATCCAACATCTGACTATAATAAGGCTGTTTGTGGTTTAAGTGGTTCAGTTTTCTTCTGTCTGCAACAGTCTCAGAATGAGGCTGTCGTTGTTTTCACGAGAGCAGCTGCAGTTTGGATCTATGCATGTTTCAATCAACGTTTTAAAACCGCTCCCATGATGATGCACTTCCCTCAACTTTAATAAAAACAACTAAAAGCTGTTTTGAACCGTTCTGAACCAAGAAGGCTTTAGAAAAAACAGGGCGACATTGGCTCAGTGGGCAGAGCATTGGCCTTTGAGCCAGAAGGTCGTGGGTTCGAGGACCTTCTCCACCAACTCCCACTGATGTCTACTGTTGCCATGTCCTTGTGAAAGTCACTTAACCCCACTTTGCCTGAAGCCCCCGCTGAAAGATCAAGTCTATGCTCTCTCTAACAGAGCAGCCGTCCTCCTGTGGACTCAGCCCCTGCAGGAGGATCAGGGGCATGCGTGTATGTGAGTCACTATTTGAAGTTTTGGGATAATTGGAAGAGTAGGTCAGAAAAAGCTGATGTGTACATGTGACAGGGCCAAATATACTGTATGTAAAACTGTTTGACCCAATGCCCAATGCAACAGTATGGAGCTAACATGAGGTTAGTGACCCCTGCTCTGGACAAGGGCACGACCCAGACATTTATGAACATTTATAATAATAATAATGCATCAGTTTTATACAGCACATGTGGTTATTCATTCTCTCCATACACGGTGGTGATAAACTACTACTGTAGCCACAGCTGCCCTGGGGCACACTGACAGAAGCGAGGCAACCAGTCTGTGCCATCGGCCCTTCCCACCACCAGACTCATTCTAGGCAATGGGGATGAAGTGACTTGCCTAAGGACACAACAGCAGCAGACAGTGGGAGTCAATGGTGAAAGTCTTGTGGTGGGCTCGAACACACAACCTCCTGGCTCGAACACACAACCTCCTGGCTCGAACACACAACCTCCTGGCTCAAAGGCCAAAGCTCTACACACTGAGCCACTGTCGCCCTTTGTGGACGTCGGTCCTGTTCCTCTGTGAACCGATGACTTATGTGTTTTATTGTTGTATTTCTGTTTGAATATCTAATCTGATGTTGGCTGATCAACAATTCTGTGACCCCTTCAGGATGACGACTTTTGCGATCTTGGGTTGTGAAAAAATGCATTGATTATCTTTGATTGAGACGTTTAGGTAGATTCATTACAGACTCATGGTTCAGACCAACACAGACAAAGAACAGACAATCATAAAAATGTCTAAACTTCCACTATGCAGACACTCTTCTTCTGTCCGCATAGGTTTCCTCCAGGTGCTCCAGTTTCCCACACACACACACATGAGTTTTGTGTGTGAATGATGTCCTCTGTTGGGCTGTCCGTCAGTGGGCCCCAGGGCAGCTGTGACTACAATAGTGGCTTTGTAACCCTGGTATGTGAAGAGCACTATATAAATAATGATTACTGAATGTGTGTAACATACTCAGTGAAGAGGAAGAGGAAGATGAAGATGAGGAGATCCTTTATTCTTCCCACAGAGAAATGTCAGTGTTGCGTCGCCAGGTACAGAGCAGTAGAATGAGGCGCGCACAACACAACACAACACAACAATATAAATGAATAATAACTCTATAATATTCTCTGACAACAGTTATCTCAATACTGTAACCATAAATATGTCTGTATCCATCACTTTAATAGTTAGAATTATTTATTTCAAACCTGCAGAACATATTTTTTACAAATGTTCTGCTCAAAGACATTCATAGAAAACAAGAATTCAGTTTCCTCTGTGTCCAGGGCATCAGGAGTATTTACTGTAGTTTGGTTTATGAAGGTCTGAGCTGGAGCCAAGTCCCAATGATCTACCCCTGTGACTAACCTCACTCTGGCAACACACACACAGACACACACAGATACACACACACACACAGATACACACACACACACACACAGACACACACACACACACACACACAGATACACACACACACAGACACACACACACACACACACAGACACACGCACAGACACACACACACACAGATACACACACACACACAGACACACACACAGATACACACACAGACACACACACACACACACGCACACACACACAATGAATAATAATGAGATAAAATGCCCATTATTGATCAATGTTTTATTTCCTGAAGATCTTCTGTTTCCTCAAATCACTCGTGAGAGACAGAGACAGAGACTTTACTGATCCTCGTTGGAGAAATTCAGGTGTTCAGAAAGTATCCATACAAACTAAAACAATAGTAATAATAAAATACAACAGTCACAGCAGCAGAGATGGAGCTGCTCTGGTCTGGACCAGTGTAAAACCATGAATCCTCTCTGCTCTGGTCTGGACCAGTGTAAAACCATGAATCCTCTCTGCTCTGGTCTGGACCAGTGTAAAACCATGAATCCTCTCGGCTCTGGTCTGGACCAGGGTAAAACCATGAATCCTCTCTGCTCTGGTCTGGACCAGTGTAAAACCATGAATCCTCTCTGCTCTGGTCTGGACCAGGGTAAAACCATGAATCCTCTCTGCTCTGGTCTGGACCAGTGTAAAACCATGAATCCTCTCGGCTCTGGTCTGGACCAGGGTAAAACCATGAATCCTCTCTGCTCTGGTCTGGACCAGTGTAAAACCATGAATCCTCTCTGCTCTGGTCTGGACCAGTGTAAAACCATGAATCCTCTCTGCTCTGGTCTGGACCAGTGTAAAACCATGAATCCTCTCTGCTCTGGTCTGGACCAGTGTAAAACCATGAATCCTCTCTGCTCTGGTCTGGACCAGTGTAGAACCATGAATCCTCTCTGCTCTGGTCTGGACCAGTGTAAAACCATGAATCCTCTCTGCTCTGGTCTGGACCAGTGTAAAACCATGAATCCTCTCTGTTCTGGTCTGGACCAGTGTAAAACCATGAATCCTCTCTGCTCTGGTCTGGACCAGTGTAAAACCATGAATCCTCTCTGCTCTGGTCTGGACCAGTGTAAAACCATGAATCCTCTCTGCTCTGGTCTGGACCAGTGTAAAACCATGAATCCTCTCTGCTCTGGTCTGGACCAGTGTAAAACCATGAATCCTCTCTGCTCTGGTCTGGACCAGTGTAAAACCATGAATCCTCTCTGCTCTGGTCTGGACCAGTGTAAAACCATGAATCCTCTCTGGTCTGGACCAGTGTAAAACCATGAATCCTCTCTGCTCTGGTCTGGACCAGTGTAAAACCATGAATCCTCTCTGTGCTGGTCTGGACCAGTGTAAAACCATGAATCCTCTCTGCTCTGGTCTGGACCAGTGTAAAACCATGAATCCTCTCTGCTCTGGTCTGGACCAGTGTAAAACCATAACTACTTAGGACTTGCAGCCATTTCCAGTGAATTCAAAAGTAAAATCAGAGAAAGTTCATAATGTGCCAGAGTCTACAACCAACAACATCAGTCCCACAGACACAACAGTCACCGACACACTCTCCATCACAGACAATCTTTGTTTGAGTCCAGCCATGTCCCAGGACAAAAGCCAGGGCTCAGAGGGGGAGGGGCTTCCTGCAGGTAATGAGCTACTCAATGTGTTTTAGCTCAGACTTTGATGTGGACGAAGGGAAGAAAAGTGATTAAAAGTTATGGCGGAGGGTTGACAGACGTGGGTTTGTGCTCAGAGGCTCTCATGAAAACAGCTCAGGTTTCACATTTGCTTTAGTAGTTTTATGGCGCCGGTGGCTTTGATTCGATCCGTTCTGGACCAACAGAGGCTGTAAAACAAGTGCGAGAAGAGAAACAGGTCCAGATATTAAAGCTGTCTGTGAGACACCTGAGCGTTCTCCAAATACAACTTTATTTGTCCGTGAACTTTTTAGATTGAAACCATTTATACCACAGCTAAATCATCCCACTGCCTCCTCAGCCTCAACAGCCATGACCAAACTAAGGCCCACGAG